CGACTTGCTCTCGTAAAAGGAAGAGGCAGGGAAAGAAAGCAGAAAGGGCCATTTCATCCATGCTGGGCTCTGAGGAACGCTCACAGACAAGGCGTCATGGTGGGACTGGCCAGAGACACTCTTTGACTGTGTTTTGGACTGCAGATCCCAGAATCCTTGCCCCTGGGCCTACGGCCTGGGACGTCTGGAGCTGAAGTCCAGCGACATCCTGAGACCTACGTAAGTGTGGCAGCCATAGTTCCAAGGAAAGCGTCTTATTCATTTTCACACCTTTTCTTGCTTCCTCTCCTGGTCTTTCTCCATTAAATTCACATCCTCACAACAACACCTGAGCGAAACATCGCATCAAGCGGTGATCATGTGCACACACAAAGCAGGAGCAATGGGGGAGAACAAGGTGGGTGAAGGTGGCACTCGTTTGGATAATTTTTAAAAGGAAAGGGGGAAAAGATGAGCAATGTTTGAACGGGGAAAAGGCATGGGGGCAGATTCTTGACTCTTTGGAGGTGGTGCGGCAGACACTTTTCTGAACAATTAAAAATATTTTGCAGTGTATTTAATAAAAATACAGTACATGTATATATAAGCAAAGGAAAAAAGCAAAGTGTGCTACTTATGTACTGTATTTTTCCACTTTTATAATCCAAAATTAAGAAATCTAAGTGGGGTTTAGCAAGTGTAGGGGAAAAGGGATAAAAGCACTGCAGGATCTCTTTGATCCCTCCTTTCCCCTCCACTTGTTTTTGTTCTCACCTCAGCTTACTTCCATGTATAAGACGACCCTCAATTCTTAGTCTAAGATTTTTGACAAAAGTATAGTCTTACACATGGAAAAATATGGTATATCCCTCCCCATATGCTTTTAGCACTTTCTGGGCAGTTCACAATTTAATTATGCAGGCAACACATTGCCCCCACCCCCAAGCAAACTGGATGCTCCATATACGGGCCCCGGAAGGACAGAAGGTGGCTTCAACCTTGAGCCAGCTACCTGAATACGTTGGGATCAAAATCAGGTCGTGAGCAGAGTGTTGACTGCAGTACTGCTGTTTAACAACATGAGGCTCCTTCATTAAAATGTAGTACAGCAGTGACAAGTGTTGAAACAAGTAACTATCTTTATAGAAGCAAGCAAAAGCAGGTACTTACTTTCCAAGAGCATTGAGTAACTATAATCTAATAATGATAACCTTATGGTTGTTGTAATGATAACCTTAGATCTGCAGAACCGGAAGGGATCCTACGGATCATCCAGGTCCAGCCCCGGTCAAGGAGGCACCGTGTGGGAATTGAACTCCCAACCAGACCTAAACCACATAGCTATCGAGACACTCCTCTATCCAACTAGTATCTATTCTGAACAGCAAGATGCTAAATTCAGATCATGTGCACTACAACAGTTGTATTTTCTGGTGAAGGATGCTAGTTATTGATTCCATGAGTGGTCTTGTTTCTGTGCCTCAGCTTTCCTGAGCTGCAAAATGGGATCAATGAACTGTATGTATATGTTTTTTCCATAGATGTTGTTGCATGAGCCTCTGGGCTTCCACCATGCAGACCTGTTTGCTTGCATGCAGTTGAAACTCCCAGTTTCTGCAAACGGTACGTCTGAGTCTGGACAAAATAAGCATCCACAATGCAGGGTTGAGTTCTCCTCCCAGCCATGGTGCTTTCCAACAATGCTCTTCCTGCTACCTCACCTATCATTTTTTTAAAAAATTTGGGTGTCAGGAGCAGCCACTATGGACTTCTCCTCCTCCTTCGCAGCCCGCTGGCTGGATGGCAGCTTTCCAGATTGTCTGTAAAAAGAAAAATACTTTGGTGGTGGCTGCTGGCCAGGGAGGAAGCTGTACTTTTGCCTGTGCTTTGTTTAGCTCCCTGTTTTGGGAACTAAGGGATGTGGTGGTGCTCCGGGTTAAACCGCAGAAGCCTCTGTGCTGCAAGGTTGGAAGACCAGTCGTCAGAAGATTGAATCCACGTGATGGAGGGAGCTCCCGTTGCTTGTCCCAGCTCCTGCTGACCTAGCAGTTCGAAAGCATGCAAATGCGAGTAGATAAATAGGTGGGAAGGTCACGACGTTCCATGTCTACTTGTGCTGGCCACATGACCACAGAAACGGTCTATGGACAAACGCCAGCTCCAGGGCTCGGAGATGGGGAGGACCACCGCCCCCTAGAGTCAGACACAACTGGACTAAATGTCAAGGGGAACCTTTACCTTTGTGGGAACTTGTAGAAATTCTTCAGTTTAACTTGGGTGCATGACTGCAGCCTTGCTAGATTGACCACCACAAAATCACTTCCTGTTGCGGTGCTCAGCATCCTTGCTTTCCGCCACGGGTCTGCTGCTCCCATCATCATCCTGTCCTCTGGGCCTGTTGGATGGAAAGACAGAGGGGGTTGTGATATTACTGATCCTAGATCAACGGCTTTCAGCCATCGGCCCCCGGATGTTCAGGGCCAGAGAGGCACATGAACCAGAAAAAAAAAATGACAAATTGGGGTGGTTCGTGTTTGATGGCTACCCACAAAACACAAACTACTCTTGAACCCTTGGGGAAAAAAAGGAACTGGTTCATGATTTGTGTCTTTTGGGGGGGGTTCATGTCTGAGAAGAGGGAAACCACTGCCTTCTGCCCCTGTTGCATCCTTCCTGACTCCTGTCACCTCCTCCATCTTCAGAGACAGTGGCCTGGCATCCCTTCCGGAAGCCAGTCCTGCTATATATGAAGATGGCAGTAACGGAGAAGGAAGAAGAGGCGGTGGCCGGAGCAGGTAGGGAAGGTGATGCGGGCAGTCGAAAGGGGTCGGGGAATCTATTTCGCCAAACAAAGCTTGGACTGGAGAGGCCTTCCAGTGGAGGACACTCGCCCCCAAAAGGAGGATCCTCTTCTGGCAGCCTTCAAGCAGAGGACTGTCCTCTCACACACCAAAAGAGGACCTTTGGTCACTCCATGTTGCACGCTCCGCTTCCTTGATCATGCACGATCTTACTGGGGTCTGCTGGGCGTTGAAGTCCAACAAGGCCCGGGGACCCAGCTTTGGGAACCACAGATCTGGAGTGTGCTCTGTGGTCGGCATTTCGCTTCAACCATTCATGCCAAGGCACGTCCTTGTTTGGATCTGAGTTACCTACCTGGCAGCCCAACCATTCATGCTTGCTATAGGTGTGCATTGTTCTCTACCTTTCCAATTGGTTCACCCCCCGAGGCTTCTTCTGCAGAAACTGCAGTAGCCCAGTTAAGCCTCTGCTCACAACCTGAGTTCA